TGTAACGGTACTCAAGTTATCGTGTTTACACACGGACACACACACACACACACACACACACACACGGACACACAGACATACGGACAAGATTGCAAAATTATGTTTTTCCGTATCAGTGAGATGTAAAACGTCGAGATTTGCAAAAATCTCGATTTTTTTTTTTGCACGATTACAAGACTTTCTCTATACTTCGTATATACGAGAAAGTAAAAATGCTCACCTAAACCTTCTCGTAAAAGAAGTAAATAGAGTAAAGTGCCATTTCCGGTTTCCAAAAATCGCTCAACTATTGAGTAAATAGAAACTTACTTCAAGGGTATAGGAAATTTAGTCCACTCAACTAAAACAGTACACCATTTATTGAGTTAACACTCACACTGAGACAAACAGACAGAAAGACATACATACAATAAAAAAACTTGATTTTTTTCGACCCAGGACACAGGAAAGTTTATAAGGTCGAGATTTTTTTCCCCCACCATTACAGTATTTCTCCTCTACTCCGTATACCAGAATGAAAAATGAAATCAACCTGACCAACCTTTGGAAACACATAAACAAACTGTGAAAAAGCTTTTCCCCTTCCTGAAACCATACCAAAAACGTGTATATTTTCCATTAGTCTAGTGTCACCAGTACTTCATAAAAAAAAACCTCAATGTGGTATAAAAAAAAAAAAAAAAAAAAACACCGACCAGCCAGGCAATAAAGATTTCACCATCTGTGACACTAGCCGGACCACTAGGACATTTTCTATCAATACTTGGACTGGCTTCATCAAATTTATATTTCCTGTCATGGAAAAAAAATGCGGGGTATTATTATTCCCTTGTAGTGAACATCGTTATTTCACCAGACCAGCCTCAGGGTATTACTTTTGTCTGTTGTCGTTTTTATTTAGCGATGTTGTCAATGTGATAGCTGTGTTGTATATATTGACAAAGCTGAGAAAAAAAATTGTGACAAAGTTCACAGGACAAGAATATTTATTTCGTTTTTATTTAGCGATGTTGTCAATGTAATAGCTGTGTTGTATATATTGACAAAGCTAAAAGAAAAAATTGTGACAAAGTTCACAGGACAAGAATATTTATTTCGTTTTTGGTCACCGCTGACGTGGTTTGTGACGCGCTTCCGCCGCGCGCTGTTTCATTGCTTCCCGCGCGCAGATAAATATTCCCATAATAATTCAGCAGTTAATAAAGGAATCACGTTGGGCTATCGCTTGTTGGACTCTCGTCTTTCGTACTTGAACTCATTTTTTCTCTCTCTCCAGACAGTAAACAGATTAGATAACAAGCCCTTAAAGGTTTTTTTAATACAACGAAACACGTCTAAGCTGTGGTTATAGTGAGCCATACATCAAATTTGATAACTGCAGAAAAAACGACAACACAAACTGACACAAACCGAATACGATACGACGCAAATATGCGGGGAAAACATCCTGTTGTCTGATTACGTGAGACTTGAACACAAATTCCAAGGGCAATGGCTGCATAAGAAGGTGGTATTTGGGAAGGGAAAACAGGGTAAAGGGGGGGGGGGGGGCGGGAGAAAAAACCTATATAAAATACCTTGGTACTATTGTCGAGTTTAGTAAAAACAAAAAAAATATATGGGAAATTAAAAACGTAACCAACACTATACATAATAAGCCATTGAATTTATGTAAATTTATACAAGAAATAATTATTATATTGAAACTTTCAGCCTTGACTTAAAAATCATAACTATCAACAACCCCGAGCTGATAAAAAAATCCTATCCTCATGCAAACAATCCCTTTAAACCTACAACAAAATGCTCCACTTCTACCATGATGTAAACACATTCCCATATCAACGAATGGCGCTATTGCAACAACAATGTCTGACCCTGTCCTTTCCCACCCCTTATAACAATTGCTTTACTGAACCAAAACAAAAAACAACACTTAAATTACAGCAGACGTAAATGACACTTTAACATGTCCACATATCAACCCCCATACCACACCTCGCCCTCTGTTGTCCATCCTTACACCCATGCACCAAACAATCCGTAAACATTGGCAATGCTGAAAAAAAACAGCACACAGAAATTATAACCGACATAAAAATAACACCACATGTCTACATATCAACCCCTTTTAACACCTGGCCCTCTGTTGGCCATCCGTACACCCCTGTACCAACAATCAGTATACATTTTCAATACTGAAAAAAAAAACCCCAAACAAAACAACAACAATCAAACACAAAAATTACAACCGCCGTAAAAATAACAACACAACATGTCCACTTATCAACCCCTTTTAACAGCTCACTCTCTGATGCACCAACAATCCGTATACATTTTCAATACTGAAAAAAACCCCCAAAAAACAAACAAACAAACAAACACAAAAATTACAACCGCCGTAAAAATGACACCACAACATGTCCACTTATCAACCCCTTTTAACAGCTCACTCTCTGATGCACCAACAATCCGTATAAATTTTCAATACTGAAAAAAAAAACAACAAAACAAAACAAAAAACAAACAAACAAACAAACACAAAAATTACAACCGCCGTAAAAATGACACCACAACATGTCCACTTATCAACCCCTTTTAACATCTCACTCTCTGATGCACCAAAAATCCGTATACATTTACAATACTGAAAAAAAAACAACAAAAAAAAAAACAACAAAAAACAACACACAAAAATTACAACCGCCGTAAACATTGCAACACATGTCCAGACCTCGCCCTCTGTTGGTCATCCTTACACCACCCGGCAACGACAACCCTTGACAGATAACAAAAACAAACAGCACTAGAGCGAGTACTCACTGCCGTGTAAACAATGGCCGTGCGAGGAAACGAATTACATCTCGTGTGATATTTAACGATTACAGCAATAAAACGGTACTTTTTCGTTATGAGAGGCCATTGCTCGACAGCCTTTATTCATCCTCCATTCCTTGGCGTATAGCATTGTAGGACATAATGAATAATCTCATTATCTCTAGACTAACCTTAACCTAATCTTAACAGTACAGATGTCCCAAAGCGAGAAATAAAGCAAGATAAAGATGTCTGGTGTAGAGGCGGATTAAGCTTGGGAATGGCTCGTGATGTCTAACGAGCTACAGTTGAATGTAGGAATAAGGGGATCATATGCTGTTGTCTGACTTGTTAACATAATTATGTATGTCACTAAAATGTATGCCACTAACATATGTACGCCATTAACAAATGTATGCCACTAACATATGTATGCCAATAACAAATGTATGCCACTAACATATGTATGCCACTAACAAATGTATGCCACTAACATATGTATGTCACAAACTTATGTATGCCACTAACAAATGTATGCCACTAACATATGTATGCCAATAAAAATGTATGCCATTAACATATGTAGGCCCCTATGTCACTAAAATGTATGCCACTAACATATGTATGCCAATAACAAATGTATGCCACTAGCATACGTGTGCAATGCAAAGTTTTCCTTGGTAAATGTGAAGTCACAGATCGAGAAAAGAATTGTTAAATGCGGTAGAAGTTTAGTTTCTGCTTTAACTTAGGGTGACAAATTTACTTCGTGTAAAATATTACCAAGTTTTCTGACTAGTACCACAACACTAGATTACATGTATACATAATTATTTTATATACAAGACATGGCCATAATGACTATTGATAAAGAAAGAGCAGAATTTCAAAATGACAAAATAACACATGAACGAGAATCGAATCTGAGTTCGCTTATATTGTGCCAGAGAAAATAAAACTCACAATATGTAACATTAAAACTCATGTTACCAAATCCCATCAATCAAGTCTTATTGTTCAAGTGTCACGTGCTAGTATGTTATTTATAGAATGCTATTTATAGAATACAAAACATAGAGCTGTGAATAATAGTAATGCTAACCTGGTAACTTTATAACAAACCAAGCTCTACACAAATAAATCAGGAACCACTAGGCCGACGTTTCGCTGAAGTCATAAGGAATGAGTTCATTAAATGTGACAATATATGTTACTAAAGAGATGAATATCATATATGTGTAGGGTTTAGAGGTGTCAACTTTTCTAATAAGTGAAGGTATTATAATGACACTTTCACTTTTGTGGTACCGGACTAGATTATGCACATCCTTCATTATCAACAACAACAACACAAAAATATTTTAAAAAATAAAAAAAAAAACAACAAAAAAAACCCACTAATGTTGCGTTTATCTTTCGAAATTGAAGCGAAATGCTAAGTTAGAAATTGTTCAGAATTTAGTTGCAAGATTTAACATAAGACCCACCCCTCTCCCATAGGAGTGTGACGCCAATCTAACTATGAAAAGTAATTAAAATAATATGACTCTCTAACGTCAACTGATGATTATGTTTGTGTTTCAAAGAAATTTCAAAATCTAAATCGTTGCAAAATATGTTTGGATTATTGTTCAAGTCCAGAGTTTCTTCCAGACTTTTTCCTCCGGGGCGGGAATAGGAACTTGAATATTCCAAGGGGAGGGGGGCGGTCACTGCTAAAAGTATATATTTTCTATATAAATTATAAATTTTATAAATTCTATTAAGTTTGGGAAGGGGGGGGGGGGGGGCAGTAGACGTGTTTTTGGGACAATGTTGAAGTCATATTTATTACAAGTAACAGTTCGGGTCTAGGGTTAGGTATAGTTATTACGACTAACAGTTAGGATCTATGGTTAGGCTCTTGGGTTCAATTTAGTTTCAGCAGGATGCCAAAGTGTGACATGACTAAAGCAAAACTACCGACACGAACAACCGATCACTAAATCAACAGTTCACGAACATGTGAAAGCTAGAGGTGCTAACTAATTAACGTCAGCGTAGTAAAAAAAAAAAAAAAAAAAACTAATCGCAGCTTTTAAATTGTTTTTTTCCCGATTACAATCCAAACTATTGACAGCCTACAAAAACTTTGACCCAGCATTAAGTACGGGCTATATATTATGACACTGTAAACAGAGATAAGAGATTATTTAAAAAAACAAGAACCGGACAAATTCACGGGAGTATTTCTCTATAAAAGTGAGCTAGACGCAGAACCCTAGTCAAACACAGGACGGTGTACAAACGTTGACACTAGTACTCAAATCTCAAGCGGCCAACACGTGAAATGGACTCGAAGGTTCTCCTCTCCGCTCTTCTGCTGGTCATCTTCATTCAATTTTCCTCGCAGCAGGCCCGTGAGTATACCAGGACTAAATGGTAGAGAGTACGAGGGGGAGGGGGGTATTCTGTTACGGCGAGGTTAGATTGTGTACATTCAACATAGGCTAGGATGTTTAAGTTAGGCCAGGGTAAGGTTTGAGTAAAAGAAATTGGTAGGCTAAAATATTAATTAATTAGATTTCTAGCTCGATGACGTGTAATAGTGTAATGATTGTAAAGTACTTTATAACAGAATGTACCATACGGGTTGTGTTAGAATCGGTCGTTTACTATCACACCGGTAGTTACAGGCCGTGTGCTGGTGATAGTACAGTACTTAAGGGAATAAGGTTGGAATAAACACAGCTAGGTGTTTTATACGCTTACTATAAAATAAATGACTAGGAATTCGGAAACCCAATAATAAATTAAACACAGTGTAATGTTTTGATACAGAGAAAGTAAACAAAAGCCCTATGTTTGCAGCAGACTTCTAATGATAGCTGAAAAGTTTTAAAGTTTTAGATGATTAGAACTCAATTAAACAGAATTCCTCTCTTCTTATTTTACTGACATCATTTGACAGTAAAGATGAGTTAATACCCAGGGAGGGGGGGGGGCTAAAAAAAAGGTAGTATTTCACGTTTCACGCTGACTCGATCACGGATTTTTTTCAGACACTTTTTTTGGGGAAGGAGGACGTTCTTAAAATCAGTTTCTCCCAGGCATCTCCCAGGGGGGGGGGGGGGGGGGAGTCCCTAGGAAGAAAGTCTGAAAGAAACACCGCTTAAAATTTCATGAGGGGAGGGGTGGGGGACACTGGTTTCTATATAAATTATAGTAGACCCCCCCCCTGGGATGCCTGAAAGTAATTCTGGGCTAGATCTACTTTTTTATTTATTTAAAACCGGATGGGGGATTTACCACCAGCGTTTCTGTCTTTCATAGCCGGCATTAGACCAGGGGAAGTAATCAATACCAGGGGATTTAACTCAACCCACAAGTAAACACTTTTAACGACGTTCTGAATTATTCCTAACCTTACCCTTGAAATTGACACTCAACAATCAGAACACGTTATACATATTAAAAGTAAAGTTCCCTTTTCAAACCTGACGGTCTATAGGGCAAGTGAAGTAGAGTTCACTTGTTTTCTGTGACCTCGGCATATGAAGAGATAGTGTGGTCAGCACTATGCCCAGCCGCCTTTACTTTCCCTAACGTGAGTTAGGTACCCGTCAGAGTTGGGTGGAGTATGGGAGGTCTACTGACTTAACCCCGGATTCGAACTGAATACTTCCGGGGTAGCAGTCCAGCTCTCTACCGCTAGACCACGTTATACATATTTAAAAAAAACAAAAAAAAAACCCGAACATTCTAATAGTCTCGTGTACTTTCAGTGGATTCCTGTTCCCTGAGACCAGATCCAGGAATGTGCAAGGCGTTCATGCCAAGGTTCTTCTACAACCCTGAAAAAGGCGACTGCGAAGAGTTTATTTACGGCGGATGTGGCGGGAACGAGAACAGGTATGAGAAGATAGAGGACTGCAGGGCCGCATGCAAGTAATCCGTAACAGGGGAACTAATTCATACCCAAGGCCTTCTACAGTTCCTGCTGTCTATTCAACATGTTATTGTGATTTTAAAATGTATTTCATGTTTTTTCATGACCAATAGTCAATATGTCATTTACAAGATGATTTTTAATTTTTTATAGAAGAATGAATTATGTTTCTGCTAGTCATGTTACCATGTTTTAAAGTAATATATTATGTATTTGAGGTGAAAGATTTAAGTAAAAATTGTGTACCTATTGTTTTCAATGTTGACGCTGAAAAGTTTCGGACATGAAAATAATGGTTTAAACAGAAAAAAAAGTTCCTGTAGTTTTTAACAATCCTGAAAGGAAATTACACTAATGGTAAAATCAAAAGCTTTTTTTAAATGCTTAATTTGAAAAATGAAAATGTCGCTGTTTTTGTAGTGACCTTTACAAATCTCCTAATGAAAGATTTTTTTATTTTACAAAATATGCTTTTGATGAAACTCACTGTATACGTATCTGACTCATTAAAAAAAAATCTATTTTGTTTCTATTTAAATGTGTGTTCATTTTTAAAATGTTGTTGATCCATATTCTATAGATAACTAAAAAATAAATAAGCGCAACAATTGATTCGGCTCTCTCCAATACAACTACAAGAAAACAAAACCCATTACGCGTGTTACAAAAATACAGTTAAGCATAGTCTCAAAAAACAAAATAACCTGTGAGACGTCAGAGGATATGACAAGAGACATGGACCACCCTGCAATAAGTGACCTGGGTTTCTTTCAGACATTAAAAAAAAACTACATCGAATGGCGGTGGGAGGGAACAATGGTTAAGGTATACATTTTCTATATAAATTTAATATTTTAAAGAAATTGACGTGTTCTGTGTGTGTGTGTGTGTGTGTGGTGGGTGTGGGGGGGGGGGGGTGTCCTCCCACTCCCAGGAGAAATGCCTGAAAGAAACACTGTGAGTGACCAGGAAGAACAGGTGTGACAACTAGCGGCTTAAATTAATTGTTTATTACGTCATCAAGGAAGAGAAACGGGTGAACTCTTCTTCACATACCCCGTGAACTGTAAAGTTCGAAAGGGTACTTTATTCACCTTCTCCTATATCAAACATGTAGTGAACGAGGTTTGAAGTTTGTGATATTCCATAATGAGAACTTGTTTTGAAAATAATAAATTGACTAACTGGTTACGGAAATGTGGGGGATACGTGTAGTCACACAGCTGAGGACGACAGGAGTGTATGTGTGTGTGGGAGTGTGTGTGTGGGGGGTGCGTGTGTGTGTGTGTGGTGCGTGTGTGTGTGTGTGGTGCGTGTGTGGGGGTGTGTGTTTATTTGTCAGAAAACAACTTCCACTTATACACTGAGAGTTATGGGACTGTCATTGAAATTAAACAAATTAAATTAATTGCTATGTCAAAGCGAACTTTTATAGGCTACATATCTAAGGCTGATACTTGTACATAGATAACCAACTTTGTTAATAGGATTTTGTACACGTGTGTACACATACTGCATGAGTAACCGGTTTACGAGCTATTAAACCGGCCATTTACCGGCAGCCGGTCCCCAGGATGTTACATAACTATAGGCTTATCTTAAAATCATAACTAAAAATCACTCTTGTTGGTATTGGATTTCAAGGATTGGCAACAATAACTAATCAATTGTATGTCATTGATCAGTTTAAAAAAAACTGCAGTAAGGTGGTTGCACATTCAGTCATACTAAAGTTCATAAAGCAAAGAGCTAGGGAAGTATAATAAAACTAGAAGTAGGACTATAATAATATGAGTTTTGTTTCAAACGTGAAATGCATTAGAGATATCCGCAACAACAAAAAATGAGAAATAAGTTAAAAACCAACATCGTGCACCTAAATGCATTTAACCAAAACGGATATCAGGTAACTAGTAGTCTCCCTTTAAATGATTTGCTATTTATTTAGATTACATTGAACTAAATAGGGAAATATTAAAGTTGTTTTTTACATTCTCGATTAAATTATGCATCTCTTCACCACCTTTTAGATGCCTAGGGTCGAGGAGGTCACGTTAAATTTAGCTTAAGATCCTAACGTTTGTTGTGCATACCACGTTTTTCTTGTCCAAGATATTGTTTCCCCATCGCAGTCACAGCTTACTTAGATTTAGATACTTTCTAGAACTAGATCTAGATCTAGGAACAAAGCTGGAAGATCACTAACATGATTCACACAGGAATGCTCATATTGTTCAGGTATATTTTAGTTCAACGAGTTTCTAGATGTTTCTGAGAAATTATCTTTTCATTAGATCAACTCATTGACACCAATACATGACAAACGTGCAAGCTGCCGTGCTATCAACAACAACACGCCTTCACAGTGCTAAAGCCTACAACACACGGCTCACTTATATCCAATACCTTCAATTGGTACTGATAAGAAATGAGACTTAGCCAAATTTAGTGCACTTACAAAAAAAAAAAAAAAAAAAAAAAAACGGGTGGCATTTATATATACGGCCTACAATACGGAAAGCTGTGTTTTCCCAAAGTCAACTAAATGACTAAGAAGGCATGATTTGTGATTTGGCTTGATAGGGTGTAGGTGTGTAAACCCTTAGACCTCCCCCAACGATAAGGGACATGCGAGAGTCGTTCCTGAAGTTTACAACATGGTGTGTCATACAAGGGTCGTATATTTGACGCACAGTCCAAGTCTCTAACAGCTCATTTCCTTTCAGAGGCTCAGAAAATGAGGATGTATCAGTGCGTTCTATTCGCTCTCACTGGCCTTGTTTGTGGGCTGCTTGCCTTCCAAATGCGTAAGTATCCGTTTGATTTGATATAAACTTCTAATTACATGTCTCATTAAATCCAAGCGTCTAAATAATTGTTTGATTGGATCTAAATTTCTAATTACATGTTGCATTAAAACCAAGCGTTTAAATAATTGTTTGATTGGATCTAAACTTCTAATTACTTATTTCATTAAAACCAAGCTTCTGAGTATAGGTTTCACCATGCTTCTTAGTAGATCTTATTTGTTTCACTGAAACTAAGCTTCTAAGTGTGGGACTCTTGGCTGCTAACCCGAAAGTCTCGAATCCGAATCCGGGTTCAAGTCAGTAGAACGTCATTGACTCCATCCAGCTCTGATGGGTACTTAACTCATGTTAGGGAAAGTTAAGACGGCTGGGCATAATGCTGACCACATTATGCCTTCATATACCGAGGTCAAGAAACATGAGCTAGGTCTAAAGAGGAATCTTTACTTTAAGCCTCTAAGTATCTTTATAACCATGCTTCTTACTAGCTTATTTGCTTCGTTGAAACCAAGCCTCTAAGTATCCTTTTTATTCAATCTAAACTTCTACGTATCTGTCCCATTGGTTACAAACATGCTGAGATGAAGTATGTGGTAATATAATCAAAACTTCCTATTGTAAATCTTTTTCAAGTTTTTTGATGATGGTGTAGTGTGCGTTTTTTTTTTTTTTGACTTCAGTGTTCATTTCTTGTTGATGTTTGACGCGGTATATGTCAAATGATACAACTGACAGGCTATAAGAAAATAACACTTTTAGAGAGACTGACACTACATAGCAAAACAAAACAACACTCTATGACAGACCGACAGACAGCCACCCGAAAGAAGCGCAAGACGGACTGATGGACTAACGACCGGCCGACAGGAGATAAGGTCAGGCACGTAGACCGACGTATACAATCAGATATTCAATCTAAACTTCTACATATCTGTCCCATTGGTTTCAAACATGCTGAGATAAAGTATGTGGTAATATAATCAAAACTTCCTATTTCTACCAGCGGAAATCTGCAACCAGGATGCCGTGGTCGGGCAATGCAGGGCCATGCTGTCTAGGTACTACTACGACGTCAAAGCCAAGGCGTGCTACAACTTCATGTACGGCGGCTGTCACGGCAATCAGAACAACTTTGAGACCAAGGACCAGTGTGAGCTGACGTGTATGGGCACGTCGTTTAGTGGACTACCACAGTCGCACATCTTAAGCAGGCCTAGGAATACATGTAAGTCTGTGAATTGGGTGGGCGCGTCGTTTAGTGGCCTACCACAGTCGTACGTCTTAAACAGGCCTAGGAATACATGTAAGTCTGTGAATTGGGGGGGGGGGGGGGGGCACGTCGTTTAGTGGACTTCCACAGTCGCACGTCTTAAACAGGCCTAGGAATACATGTAAGTCTGTGAATTGGGGGGGGGGGGGGGGGCACGTCGTTTAGTGGACTGCCACAGTCGCACGTCTTAAGCAGGCCTAGGAATACATGTAAGTCTGTGAATTGGGGGGGGGGGGGCACGTCGTTTAGTGGCCTGCCACAGTCGCACGTCTTAAACAGGCCTAGGAATACATGTAAGTCTGTGAATTGGGGGGGGGGGGGCACGTCGTTTAGTGGACTGCCACAGTCGCACGTCTTAAACAGGCCTAGGAATACATGTAAGTCTGTGAATTGGGGGGGGGGGGGCACGTCGTTTAGTGGACTGCCACAGTCGCACGTCTTAAGCAGGCCTAGGAATACATGTAAGTCTGTGAATTGGGGGGGGGGGGGCACGTCGTTTAGTGGACTGCCACAGTCGCACGTCTTAAACAGGCCTAGGAATACATGTAAGTCTGTGAATTGGGGGGGGGGGGGCACGTCGTTTAGTGGACTGCCACAGTCGCACGTCTTAAGCAGGCCTAGGAATACATGTAAGTCTGTGAATTGGGGGGGGGGGGCACGTCGTTTAGTGGACTGCCACAGTCGCACGTCTTAAACAGGCCTAGGAATACATGTAAGTCTGTGAATTGGGGGGGGGGGGGCACGTCGTTTAGTGGACTGCCACAGTCGCACGTCTTAAGCAGGCCTAGGAATACATGTAAGTCTGTGAATTGGGGGGGGGGGGGGGCACGTCGTTTAGTGGACTGCCACAGTCGCACGTCTTAAGCAGGCCTAGGAATACATGTAAGTCAGTGGATTGGGGGGGGGGGGGCACGTCGTTTAGTGGACTGCCACAGTCGCACGTCTTAAACAGGCCTAGGAATACATGTAAGTCTGTGAATTGGGGGGGGGGGGGCACGTCGTTTAGTGGACTGCCACAGTCGCACGTCTTAAGCAGGCCTAGGAATACATGTAAGTCTGTGAATTGGGGGGGGGGGGGCACGTCGTTTAGTGGACTGCCACAGTCGCACGTCTTAAGCAGGCCTAGGAATACATGTAAGTCTGTGAATTGGGGGGGGGGGGGGGGCACGTCGTTTAGTGGACTGCCACAGTCGCACGTCTTAAGCAGGCCTAGGAATACATGTAAGTCTGTGAATTGGGGGTGGGGGTGGGGGGGGGGGGGGGGGGTTGGTGTAATTTTGTGGTCAGTGGGCTACCTCAGTCACACGTCGTGTTAAGCAGGCATAGGAATACATGTGTCAGTGAATTGAAATGGGTTGGCATATTCAGTGGACTACAACAATCACACAGGCGTATTACGTGTAAGGCAGCGAATTAAGTGTGTGTGTATGGGTGTGTGTGTGTGGGGGGGGGGGGGAAGGAGTTGTCATTCAGTGGGCTACCATAGTCACGGGTTTTAAGCTGGCCTAGGAATACATGAAAGTGATGCGCATTTAATAGCTATAGGTTGTCATTTAATGAGTTACAACAGACACATTCTAATTTGAAGTAGGAAAACACTGAACTAACTCCAAGAAAAGACAAAACTTGTTTAGGACATTTTTTTTTCTAAACTGATGCAAAAGTATGTATTAATCTTGTTTTTAGCATAGAATATCTTACAATCTGCTGATGTGTGAGAAGCTAAACTTTGGGCCAGATGAAAAGGTCTGGAAAACAAGGTTATTGCGTTAATAGGTCCATGTGTCAAGTGGAAGATAAGCGACCGGTTGGCGCGATCTATCGACCTTACATGTCATCCTCAGGGGTCCCTTTCACAACAAGAATATCGGGCAAACAATTTGTGCTACTTTCAACGTGAACATGAGATAAATAATTTAAAAGCTGTTAAAAATAAAAGACGTGATATGAGAAATTTTTAATTGTTAATTCAGACAAAGATGAAATCGTTGATACAAATTACAATACCAATACGGGACTATTTAAGAGTACCTTTTTTTTGGAAACATGCTTTAAAAAAAACTAACCCGTAATCCATATAGCTGCTTCAAGATCATAGTGGTACTTGGGGAAGATAAAATGGAGTTTATCTGTTGCTTGTAGATATTATGTGGCTAGCACTATGCTACTTTTAACTAATTGACACCCCTGCCTAAATAGCAGCTACAGTTATCCCTTATCCCATACATTCCTTCTCTTTACAGGGCCGATGCTATTTAGTCAGGTAGATATTAAGAGGTTGTTCAACCCAGCATTTCTATTTTTTAGCATACTTTTGCCAGCCGCAATGACCATTAGGTTTTTGTCCCCCCCTCCCCTTCCGTGCACCGTGTCAAGTTATTTTTTCTTGTTTTCATGCTGAAATCTATCACACCCATGTAAGTAAATACACGGTATGTGTTGAACTATTGTTTATGTTCGGTAGCGAGCTGACACACTAACAACAAAGCTACAACTAGTCATGAGGCACCATTAGGTCGGGTGTCACCCCCCCCCCCCTCCCTCCAATTTAGCAATTCAGGTCTGGTGTCGACCCTACCCTTTACTACTCTTTATTAATTTAAAGACGTTTGTCGTAAATTTTACGATATTTAAAAATTTGGTGTATCTCACAGTGCGGACCGCACCCTCCACCCCCCCCCCCCCCCCCCTCCCGCATACGTCTTGTGACACTAAAGCAGTCTTACACCTTTTGTTGATGTTCTGTAGCCGACATGTGTTACCCTTCCCCCCCCCCCCCCCTCCCGCATACGTCTTGTGACACTAAAGCAGTCTTACACCTTTTGTTGATGTTCTGTAGCCGACATGTGTTACCTGGAGCCGGTAGTCGGCAAGTGTAAGGCGACCATCGAACGGTACTACTACGACCAAAAGAGCAAAGCCTGCAACACGTTTAACTACGGCGGCTGTGAGGGCAATGCCAACAACTTCGAGACCAAACAACAATGCCTGCACGAGTGCACGGAAGCCGGGAAAAGAATCGTAGGTACGGTGACCTTCCTGTACATTGAGAAAAAAAAACTTGGTTAGCAAGTATGCTGTATTTTGTGTGCAATAGATTTGTTTTGCATTTTGTGTATATCGGAAATTTTTTAATTATAAAATGTGACAAAGTGTACTAATCCGATCCGAGATAAAAAACAACACTTACTCTTTTCTAAACCACACCCGATTAAAAAAATACTGGCGCAACGGTTAAGTGAATTTAAAAAAAAGTTCAAACCTGACTGTTTATGGATCACATTTTTAGACCGTCACTGAGTCCACCCAACTCTGATGGGTACCTAACTCACGTTAGGGAAAGTAAAGGCGGCTGGGCATAGTGCTGACCACACTATCTCTTCATATGCCGAGGTCACAGAAACAAGTGAACTCTACTTCACTTGCCCCATAGACCGTCAGGTTTGAAAGGGAAACTTTACTTTTAAACTCACATTTTAAGGCATTCTCAGCATCATCTTTTCCCGTTCAGGCCAAAGACTCAAGGTGGGGCAAACGAAGTAGAGTTTATCTGTTTCAACTACCTCAGCATACAGGGAGATGTATTTAGCAAAATGCCCAGCCGTATTAGTTTCCCTAACGTGAGATATATCAATCAGCTGGGTGGACACAGGGAGGTCCTACAGACTCGAGTATCCGAACTTGGCCTTTTGGGTTAGCGGTCGTTAGCACTACCATCCGATCACGCCGTCCCATCTAGGCATACAGCTGGTCACGTTTTCATTCTATTAAGGCTACCGATGCTACAGAAAAGGGTGAACTTTATTGTTGGGATACCAAAAAACCAACATCACATGTTTGGTACCCATAAACTAATGTCAAAATGCTGGGGTACGCATAAACCAATATCACACTTTGGGGTACCCTAAACCTTTATCACATGTAGGATACCCATAAACGAATGTCACACCCAACAATACATTTCCATCCTCCCAGCCAAGCCTTGCTTCCAGGCACCCGACACGGGAGACTGCAAGGCTGCGATCAGCAGGTATTATTACGACCCAGCGACGAGGAAGTGCGCCACGTTCTTGTACGGCGGCTGTAAGGGCAACAACAACAACTTCCAGACTATAGACCAGTGTGAGAACGAATGCTTGGACGACTCGGCGGAACCTAAAGATCACGACAGACGTAAGTGTGACAGCTTTCACTAGTGTGTAGGCCTATACTAGACTTGTCATTGACGGAACCTAAAGATCACGATAGACGTAAGTATGACAACTTTCACTAGTGTGTAGGCCTATACTAGACTTGTCATTCGATTGGACATAAAGATTACGACAGACGTAAGTGAGACAACTTTCACTAGTGTGTAGGCCTATACTAGACTTGTTATTCGATTGGACATAAAGATTACGACAGACGTAAGTGAGACAACTTTCACTAGTGTGTAGGCCTATACTAGACTTGTCATTCGATTGGACATAAAGATTACGACAGACGTAAGTATGACAACTTTCACTAGTGTGTAGGCCTATACTAGACTTGTCATTCGATTGGACATAAAGATTACGACAGACGTAAGTGAGACAACTTTCACTAGTGTGTAGGCCAGTGTAGGCCTATACTAGACTTGTCATTCGATTGGACATTAAAGATCACGACGAACTTAAATATGACTGGTATTAATAGTGTATGTTATGCTCTTGCCTACATACTTAGTATGACTCAGGTCAATAGTATGTGGACTAGACTCTTGCATACGGGCGTTAGTATGGCATATGTCACTAATGTGTGTACCAGACTATTGCCATTCTACGGAGTCTTAACATCGTAGGTACGACACATGTCAATAGTTTGTATTGGACGAAAACATGAAAGGTGTGTACTAGACTCTTGCCATGCGATGGGATCTAAATATCACAAGAAACGTAAATATGACACATGCCGCTTGTTGATTATTTTACACTGAGCGGCATGTTATTGTTGCTGCAGTTTACGTTTTACGGATAAGCCTTGCTCTTATGCGGTGGTTTCCCTAAGACAACATTTTCACAGTTTAAAGTAACCCAGGTGGCGTTATATTTGTGTCATAGGATATTTCGTTACAATTTGTCTGTGAGATGATTTGTCCGAAAGATATTCTGGCTGGCTAAAGAAATCACGTTAATACGGCAAATTCCACAGGACTCTTGCCTGTTACACTGAACTGTTATTGTTGCCACGATTTACGGACAAGCCTTGCACTTATACGTTGGCAGACGCTGTCCTAAGAAGGCACTTTTACAGTTAGTTACCTTTGTGTGTGGATGTTTACCTCACTAAGCCAGTCCCCACCGTTGTTTCAACGGATCGTCCATGATATTTCGTCCGAGAGATGATTTGTCCGAATGATATTCTGCCTGGCTCTAAAATCAGTACTGATGTATCGGCGATATTCTGCCTAGCTCTAAAATCAGTACTGAGGTATCGGCGATATTCTGCCTAGCTCTAAAATCAGTACTGATGTATCGATGATATTCTGCCTAGCTCTAAAATCAGTACTGATGTATCGGCGATATTCTGCCTAGCTCTAAAATCAGTACTGAGGTATCGGCGATATTCTGCCTAGCTCTAAAATCAGTACTGATGTATCGATGATATTCTGTGTTATGTAGTCATCTGTGTGCTTTGTTTTGATGGTGGTGATGACTGCAGTGAGGATTGAGGTAACAGTTTAAACTTTGATTTAATAACGCCAACACACGTACGATTTTTAAGACTTTTAATACACGAAATAAACTAGCACAGAGTTCTGCCACGGAGCACAAGACACACACTTCCACACGATAACAAGTCTAGCATTCAACTAACTTAATTCATTCGCACGGCCCCAACTTCACCCTAAGGTAACCCAAACCCTGCCTAACCCCAGCAGTCCCGCGAGGGGCGGGCGCTTGACCTGTGCATACATTAACTCGAACTTTTTACGACTGGGACAACTACAGGCTATTCAGACTTGTATCTAGTAAGGGGACGTTCAATCAAATACACTAAGGGTTATTCCTATTACAGCTATTATGATCTATCTAATCTACAATTAAACAATATAGTAGTGTGGCCATAAATACTATTAAGATTTAAACGATATTCTATCCTAGTTTTCTATCCTATGCTAATCCCAGTTATAACATCTCCCCCTTCGTCTGACAAGCTGGCAAAGCCAGCGATGATCACAAACTGATCACACTCTCTATCACATGCAACAATACGACAGATACAATAACATTCAGCTCACAAACTGATCACACTCTCTATCACATGCAACAATACAACTTATATAATAACATTCTAACATTCAGCTCCATGGCATTGGCCTTTAACAGGACAACTAATTTAATCACATTATCATAGAGATAGTTTGGGGTACAATGGCATAGTGGTAAGTAATACACCAATACAAAAAAAAAACAATAATAATAAAAAAAAAATTGAACAAATCAAGCTAATACAATGAAGATGGGGAAAGTTACAATGGCAAGTAAGAAACAAAGAAGGAAAGAATGAATTAAAAAATAAACATTTGTCCCGTTGGCTTGGGGTTGGCCGAGAACAACGGTCAAGTTTCCAACAACGATGGGACTGGATGGGACCCATTGTCTGACCCTCACACGCGGGGGTATAAGTTTCAACTCTTGACACTGACATGTGCTCTCGACCTATAGCAACGGGTACAGCTGAAAATTTAAATTGTATATACACTGGTGAATAGTTGGTATAGATACATGTGGGAAACTAGAATAACATAGGGACATGTACCCTTTCCTTTACAAGGACAGTTTAGTGCTACAGGGGTAGGGGGTGGGTGGGAAAACAATCATGATTTGGAGAGTTTGCGTGCTTGTTATCATCAGCAAGTGGGGCTCACAGTTCACAATGAGAGACGAATACTACCTACCTCTTGGACGCGTCACGACCTGGAAAGCGTATCTGCTATTTTATTTTGCGCACCGGGAATATACACTATGTTGAAAACGAAATCCTGCAGTATTAACGACCACCTTGTTAATTTGGCATTACTTAATTTTTTCCTATCCAGCGTAACTAGGGGTGAGTGGTCGGTCATTAAAGTAAAGGGGGATCCTAACAAGTACTTTGATAACTTATTTACTGCCCAAACAATTGCCAAACATTCCTTTTCTATAACTGCATAATTTTTTTCTGCAGGAGATAGTTTTCTACTTATGTATAGTACCGGATGGAGCTGTCCTTCAACTTCCTGCATCAGACAAGCCCCTATACCACGAGACGATGCGTCCGTGGTCAGTGTAAACGGCTTGTTGATGTCAGGAAGTCTAAGGATTGGCTGTTGCGCGAAACACGCCTTGATGTAGTTCAAGGTGTCGTCACATTCTTTGGTCCAATGAACAGCCTTACCCATACCAGTGCCTTTGGTTTTTGTTAATTCTGTGATGGGGTGAAGTAGGCTAGCAAAATTGGGGATAAATTTCCTGTAATAGTTGCATAGCCCTAGTAGGCTCCTAACATCTTTTTTTGTTTTAGGGATTTGGAGGTCTAATATTCGTTGTACGGTATCCCCTACAGGCTTAACAAGTTGGTGGCTAATGACATGGCCCAAAAAAGTTATTTCTTGCATTCCTATCTCAATTTTACTAGGTCTAGCTGTCAACCCGTGCGATTTTAAAGATTCTAGTAGCGACCTCAACCCTTTGATGTGGTCGGTCCAATTTTGTGAAAACAGACAGATGTCATCCAAGTATGCAACCGTGTCAGGGTTATTAATTAGAACTTTCCTCATCAGTCTGTTGAATGTGGCTGGGGCATTGATCAGACCAAAACTCATGAAGTTCCAATGGTATAGACCAAAAAGTTTGATGAATGCGGTACATTTCTTGGCCGACTCTTTTATTGGTATTTGCCAATATCCTCTTGATAGATCAAATTTGGAGAAAATTTTCGCTTGGGATATTTTAGCAAACCGTTCTTCCTGATTAGGCATTGGTTCAGCATCGGGGATGGTAATTTTATTGAGCTGTCTGTAGTCAATGCAAAGTCTTATCTCCCCATTCTTCTTTTTGGCCAGCACTATAGGCGCAGCATACGGCGAATCTGACGTTTCTATAATACCTGCATTTATGAGCTCATTAATTTCCTCCTGGACCTTATCTCTGTAGTGTAGGGGTATACTATAAGGTTGTAGCTTAATTTGTTTGTCTGAGATTAGCTTAATGTCATGCTCGATAGAGCTGGTCTTACCAGGGGTGGCAGATAGGGTATCCTTGTACTCTAGCAATAGTTTGGTAATTTCATTTTGAATTTCCGGAGTCGTGGGTCCTAATTTTACATCTCTGTATGATTCGTTATCCGACGGCAGTGTTTGGATTTCGCATTCGTCCTCATCCTTGTCTTCGTGGATCATCGCGCAACTAATTGAAGCTGTAGGTTCAGTCACGTCTAAATCAGGGGGTCTGATGTTGAATGGACTCAGAATGTTTACATGAAAAATTTTGGACTTTCCATTAATATCTATCTCATAATCGACTTTAGATATTTGTTTTAGGATGGTGTAAGGACCTCGCCAGGCGAGCTGTAGCTTATTCTCTTTGGATGGCAATAGCACTCTAACTTGATCCCCCACCCTAAACTTCCTTAGGTTCCTACCCTTATTTATCCTAAGTCTATAGAGTTCCCCTGCTTCTTCCAATGATGTTCTCGCTATTTCACAAGACCTAATAATTTGCTCACGTAGATCAACGACTTTTTCGTATGTGTTTTTGATGTCAGGGGTTAGTTTTTCATCAAGGAGCATCGACTTCATAATGTGCATGGGTCCTCTAGGATTTGCACCATAAACTAACTCAAATGGTGAAAACCCGGTGGCTGAATGTGGTAGCTCTCTATAGGCAAAAAGTAAACAGGGCAGAAATAAGTCCCAGTTACCCGAGTCTTCTTTTGGGATTTTGCTTATCATGGATTAAATCGTTCCATTTAGCCGTTCACAAACACCATTGCTCTGAGGGTGGTACGGGGAAGTAAAATTTTGCTTAATACCCAACAAACAAGAGAGTTGACGAGTTATCTCCGATGTGAATTGAGGACCTCTATCAGAAAGTATGGTGTCAGGGAAGCCTGTTCTGGAGAAGAACTGAAGTAGGCAGCTAGCAATATCGTCAGAGGTAGTGTGTTTCAGGGGGTAGGCTTCAGGCCACCTCGTCGCTAAATCAACAATAGTTAGGATAAATCTGTTTCCTCTGTGTGATGTAGGGTTTAGTGGGCCAACGATATCTACAGCAACCTTTTCGAAGGGTCTACATGCTAGATCAGTCTTTTGTAAAGGCGCCGGCTGTGGGGTCCTTTCTTTGTTCATGCAGCGGGGACATGACTGTATGTATTTAGAGATATCTTTGTCCATTCCTGGCCAATAAAACGATGTTTGTATCCGCTGTTTTGTTTTTCTCCTGCCCATGTGGCCGGCGAGAGATAAATCATGAGCTTGTCTCAATATGACTGGTCGGTATTTAAGCGGGGCTACTAGCTGGGTGTATTCTTTATGTCTGTCTTTAAATTTTCGGATTAGTGTATTGTTCTTTAAGGCAAATGAGTGTTCGGTCGTTTTGGATTTAGTTTTGGAGTTTTTACTTGCTAATTTAAAAATTTTGACAAGACTCGGGTCATTGGTTTGTTCTCTTTGGAATTCGGTCGGATCCCACATAGAGTCGTGCTTTTCGTCGTGCTTTTCTAACACCTCGGTAGGGCGGTCTGAACGTTGGATTGTCGACCCATCATTAGCGACAACGGCCTGCTTTTCCAGCGTGCTTTCTTTAGTTACCCGTGATCTGGTTTGCGCTATATTGATTTGGTTAGCGGTTAACCACTCGGAGATTTGATCTTCAGATGGACTTTGTATACCTTTCACATTTCCCAGAATCAGGTCATATGGACCTTCTTTGAAGACTACGGCTAAGACTTTGCCCGAATAATAAGGTGTTTCTATGTCGATAAAAGCAACCGGCCATTTGTGCGTAATCCCACCAAAACACTCTACATCTAACATTTCTCCTGTGAACTGGTTGGGTTTTACATATTTGTTTCTAATACCACAAATGTTCGCTCCTGTGTCTCTAAGTGTACTGACTGTTTTACCTCCTACTCTACATTTAATTGTGCCCAATGTTGTAATGGGGCTGCTGTTTAACACGAACGCGTGTCAGGCATTGTTTGCATGATTCGTCTGGTTTGTATTGTATCTGTGGCTATCATAGCGGGGCTTACGACAATATTTAGCCATGTGGCCAAATCTGTTGCAATTGAAACACTGAACAGCGTCCTGCTCGAGTGCCGGGCAATACTTTAGGGTATGACCAAACTGCTGACAATTAAAACATTGTGGGTACCTTTGCAGAGACGACGATCTGTTGTTTCCCGACCCCAATGGGTTACCTCTATACGGGCTTCTACCTCTACTGGGGTATGGTGGCGATCCTGCATCAAATGTGGGCTTGTGTTTTACCTGTGTTGTGAACATGAGGGGGGTAAATTGGGTGGCGTTGACCGACATTGGTTTGTCAGGGTGGGCTGCTTGATATTTCTGACATAAATCGGTGACGGTTTTTAGATCTCTAGGTTTTCTTTCTTGTAGGTAACTGAAAACATCCTTATCTACCGAGTTTAGGACTTTATCCACCATGACGAATTGCACCAGGGATTCAAAGGAAGGATCTAGCCCCGATGCCTCAAACCATTTTTCGAACGTCGTCTTTATTTCGTTAGCGAATATTTTGAAGTCGGCAGTGTCAGAGGGCCTAAGGCTATGAAATTTTAACCTATATGCGTTTTCTGTTAAATGGTAGTACTCTAAAAGTGTTGATTTTAGCGTCTTATATTCCTTCATCTCTTTTTCTGACAAGCTCTGACATGCATCTAACCCCTTTCCACCTATTAAAATTAACAACTGAGTACCCCACTGTGACTCTGGGGCGTTCGCAGACCTAGCTATCGTTTCGAATCTTCTGATATACGAGTCTAAATTATCACTATTGTCGTCAAATTTCGGCAGCTTACTTAAGATGCACTGCGACCTACCCCCATCTACGTCTACTTGCCTTGTCCTATCCGCTTCCGCATTTAGTCTTGCTAATTCTAATTTTGTTTTAGATTCTTGTTCAATTTTGCTGGCTTCCAATTTAGCTAATTCTATTTTGGCCTCAAGTTCTAACTTAGCCGCTCCTATCCTGGCTTTCTCTAGTTCGAAGTCGAATTTGGCCTTTTCTGCTGCTGCGATTCTATTTTGTTCTAGCTCTAGTGTTTTCCTTTGTTTTTCTGCTTCCCTATCAGCTTTCCTTGCTTCTCTTTCTTCTATTTCCCTCAAGCGTTTGTCTACCCATTCGTCTAAGTTGTCACCCGATAGGTTGTTTTTCTTGCCTAAATTGTATAATTGCTCAATTTTGTCCATTATATTATTTACTTACCTTTGGTTGGGGCCTGGATTAATTTGATCGTGAGGAGTTTTCAGGTATTGTCAAGGTAATGTGAAGGATGGATAATATTAAGTCGGAGAGATTGTCTCACGAATTGTACGAAAACTGAAAGAGGATAGTGGACAGGAGAGTAACGACAAGCAAAACGCGACTAAACAGTAGACAGTACTAAGTACAAACCGAACGGTAACAACTAACACAAAATTATATATTCACAAAAAGGAGCCCTAACGTTTTTCTTAAAATAGAAAAAAAACGCCCTCTACCCTAGGAATGTCTCCTGGTTGTGGATATATAGACCTTACAGAGGCCGTTTAGAGATCACGTAACAACAAGGGTCAAATGTCTCTAACACACACAAATTACGTAGACAAGAGTTGAATGCTTGATGACGAGCACAGCACGTTGGGGGGGGGGGGTATTATAGCAAAGTTAAACCTCAATGTTAAAATCACACATCAAATCACCGAGTTAGGGGTGGAAAATAATTAAAGGAAAGGGTACTTAACTATCATAAGAATCTGTTGTCTTGGATTGATGACGGTGGTCGTCTCAACTTGGTGGTGCTTCACGTTAGCCTTGGTGCCCTTAGGTGTAGGTAAGCTTCGTCCAAGTATCAAGTAGGGATGTTGATTTCTCGTAGTAAAGTACGAATCAGATCACTTTCACAATAGAAATATCCTTGTTAAAACAGAAAACAGTTCAGTTCACGTTAGCCTTAGTGTCCTTAGGTGTAGGTAAGCTTCGCCCAAGTATCAAGTAGGGATGTTGATTTCTCGTAGTAAAGTACGAATCAGATCACTTTCACAATAGAAATATCCTTGTTAAAACAGAAAACAGTTCAGTTCACGTTAGCCTTAGTGTCCTTAGGTGTAGGTAAGCTTCGCCCAAGTATCAAGTAGGGATGTTGATTCCTCGTAGTAGAGCACGAATCAGATCACTTTCACAATACAAATATCCTTGTTAAAACAGAAAACAGTTCAGCACTGGTAAGGGGTACTATCTCAGTCATATATGTTAACCAAACGTTTGCGCAGGTAGTAGCTCAATATTATTCTCTCAACATTAGGGTTATCCAATACCGACAAAAAAAAATATATAGTATACAATACGGTTCTTGACGATGACATTAAACGAAGACGCGTGGCAGTGTTGATGATTTAAAACTGTCTAGCACACAAAAAATTTGAAAGTTGACGGAAAAGAAACAAGTTAGATTTCGCTGCTCCGCCAAATGTTATGTAGTCATCTGTGTGCTTTGTTTTGATGGTGGTGATGACTGCAGTGAGGATTGAGGTAACAGTTTAAACTTTGATTTAATAACGCCAACACACGTACGATTTTTAAGACTTTTAATACACGAAATAAACTAGCACAGAGTTCTGCCACGGAGCACAAGACACACACTTCCACACGATAACAAGTCTAGCATTCAACTAACTTAATTCATTCGCACGGCCCCAACTTCACCCTAAGGTAACCCAAACCCTGCCTAACCCCAGCAGTCCCGCGAGGGGCGGGCGCTTGACCTGTGCATACATTAACTCGAACTTTTTACGACTGGGACAACTACAGGCTATTCAGACTTGTATCTAGTAAGGGGACGTTCAATCAAATACACTAAGGGTTATTCCTATTACAGCTATTATGATCTATCTAATCTACAATTAAACAATATAGTAGTGTGGCCATAAATACTATTAAGATTTAAACGATATTCTATCCTAGTTTTCTATCCTATGCTAATCCCAGTTATAACATTCTGCCTAGCTCTAAAATCAGTACTGAGGTATCGGCGATATTCTGCCTAGCTCTAAAATCAGTACTGAGGTATCGACGATATTCTGCCTCGCTCTAAAATCAGTACTGCTGTATCGGCGATATTCTGCCTAGCTCTAAAATCAGTACTGAGGTATCGGCGATATTCTGCCTCGCTCTAAAATCAGTACTGCTGTATCGGCGATATTCTGCCTAGCTCTAAAATCAGTACTGAGGTATCGGCGATATTCTGCCTAGCTCTAAAATCAGTACTGCTGTATCGGCGAGGACGAACACGTTCTAAAAATATCTCTGACCAATATGACTAATATACTAATGTTGTTTTTAAATTATTTTTTTTTAACTAGCCACATACTGCCAGGAGGAGGCGGACGCGGGGCCATGCAGGGCCAGCATCAAACGGTTCTACTACCACCCCACCTCCGGCAGGTGTATCGAGTTCTTCTACGGGGGCTGCCAGGGGAACAGGAACAACTTCGAGACCCAGGAGGAGTGCGCGCTGCACTGCGCCTCACTCTCCATGACCAAAGGCGGAAACACGGCCTCGGCCTTGACCTTGAATGTACCAATGGCCTTTGTGTTGGTCCTGTGTCTACTCTATATCCGTGTTTTACCTTAGTTTTGTTTCAACATTATCATTCAACAGACATACTGTTTTGGTCGTTCATAGTTGCACACTGCTTGTAAAATACTTATTGAATAGAATGTATTATAATTTAGGACGTTAAAAAAATTATTGTACATATTTCATTTCATCAGTGCTAACAAACAATAAAACAACATTTTGCCTACATATCTTGAAAGCTGTTGAATTTGTATATAGTAGACATAGTCCCTTGGGTCAATTGTATCAAGAGAGGGAGCCTGATGCATGGGTAACAACTGTCTCTTCTCAACTTAGGGCCCAGGCTTTGTGCTTGGATTTCAAACGCGCAAGCATTCACATTCAATGGTCTTTTATGATTAGTCGTAAAGTTGGACGATCGCAGTGACTATATTGTAGTTTATTTAACCTCAGTTAAGGGTACCTGGGTGCTTTTTATTCTTCTTAGCTGTGGCCACGAAGTTTTTTGGTAAACTTATGGTTTGGGAGAAATCGAAACAAGCCAGGATAAGTATGCCGCAATCCGCCGGTATGCTAAATCATAATACATGTTTTTATTACTACATCAATATTGCTAGTCTGGTCATCTCCGCAATAAAGAAGATGCATTAGAACGTTTTATGTAATAATGCACTAAAAAGGAGAAAATAAATTATTTTCTCTAAATATATAAGAATACACAACTATTTAAATAACTATAAAGAAAAGCGTGGGCAACTATTTCATTTATTAGATACATTTACTAATATTAGGAAGAGACCCAATTTTATTTAGTACTTTAAATTTTTTATTTACAATAGAGGACTAAAAATTATTGCTCACCAAATTGACATGATAATGCGCGTATAATAGCTCGGAAAGAGTAGTAGGGCAGCCTACTAATTTCAGAAAATTTTAATTAATTCATAAAAAACGAATTAGGTATTTAATTAAGTTAAATTTAATGTCAGATTGCATTGCCTTCAAGTTTTGACTATATTTCAGAGAAATTGGTCAGTTAGAAGTGCCCGAAATTTCGCGCGCCCGTTTTGATCTATGATAGACAGACAGAGGAAGCAAGAAAATAAAAGCTTGTAAAATAAAAATAAATAAATTAAATTAAAAAAAAAAACACAGACTAATGCAGTTTCCGAAAAATTTCTTGTTTACAAGGCGCGCCAAAGCATAGAGCAGGAAATATCTCCTTGTTGATGCAATCATTGATTCGTCAAACATATTTTACGGTCTGATTGTATAGTGAATGCACAGAATAGTTGAAAGCTTTTAATCTAAAGCAAGAAAAACGCAGAGGGATAAAACATTGTTTTTAAAAACCACAACAGAAAAATGTACCAGAATTCTTAGACCTATATTTTATTGATTTAACAATTAATTCACCAATCCAAGTTTTTATTGCTAATGCAAAGCCCTACATAATAATTGCGTGTTTCGTGTTTCTTTTAGTTTTTACGTAGACCCTAAACGACAAAACTGATTTCAAGGGATCTGCATTTTCTTATTTCATAATACAATATTTTTTTTGTAAATCCAAAATGTATTTATTTTATTGATAAAACATTTTGAGGCTAAATGTAAAAAAAGCTGAATTTTTCAATTAAAATAATGTTACGCTCTGTAGATGTATAGATTCTACTTCTTCACAAATGGATTTACATTTAAAACAGTTGGCTGGCTCCAGTGATGAGAAGGGATGTTTAGCAAACGTTAGGTTAGGTTAGGCTAGGTTAGGTTAAGAGAAAGAGTAAGGGTAAGATAAGTTAAGCTAAAGGACACCTACAAACCTATACACCACGACCTACAGAAGAAGCGTAATTGTATTCAATGGGTGCCTACAGTCATACCCCTTACACCCCAGATGCCTAATGACATAACCCCACTACTGACCCAGTCCCCGAAACTGGCCCAGCCCCAGCCCACTGACCTGACCGCATACACAAGAAAAACCCAAAGTCTGCATTATCAGGATCTTCTACTGACATGCCCCACCCCTACAGATCTAGCCCCCTCCCACAAACTGACCTAGCTCCAGCCTACTGACACAGCCCCCACCCCTAGTGATATAACTGCCGAACCCGACCTGGCTCTAGCCCACTGACCTGCCCTCACCACCCCGCCTACACACGCCCCCCCCCCCCCCTTTCTCCCACCCCATCCCCTTACCCCGCCTACACCAGAATCGTCCAAGTACTGTATCCTAACGACTCAGATCACGACTCTACCCACTACCTCTCAACACTGCCACTGATTCTGTTTGCTTTATTGCCTCCCCGCGTCCGCGCTAATGACGTCAAGTCTCGAGACGAGACGTGCCGGGCCTGTCCATAACAAGGTCAACTGACCGTACTCATTTCCTCTCCTGGAGAGCCACCCAAAACTACTTGGTCTTCTACCAGCTGGAAGAATTCGTTCGACAAGACTGAATGTATTTTTATGTGCTGCATTAAAAATTAGATAACTAATCGTTAACAGTAACCTACAATGGCTACACATTATGTGCAACATTTGTTATTAGATGGCTTAACAAATCTTTAAAAGTAACCAAAAAAATGGCTCCACATTATGTGCAACATTAGATATTAGATGGCTTAACTAATCTTTAACAGTAACCTAAAATGGCTCCACATTATGTGCAAAATTAGTTATTATATGGCTTAAGTAATCTTTAACAGTAAACCCCAAAAAGAAAATGGATGGAAGAATTCGTTTGTTCTCTAAGGCCGATTATATTTTTTGTGTAGCATTAGACATTAGATAGGTTAACTAATCTTTAACAATAACCAAAAACGGCTGGAAAATTAGTTTGATGAGGTCGATTATATATATGTATAAGAATTGTATTTTTCCATAAGTAAATTATCTATCCATAATGGAAACCGTCAGAAACTTGAAATTATATTTCAACACCCGAACGTAATAATAGATTAATCGTTGCTTTAGCAATGCTGGCTAAAAGAAACAACTAATAAAAGGACTTTCTTCGAAAGTCGGAAATGGGAAAGAACAGAAATGTTGTACTAACGGCCTCGAGCAAAGTACACAGAAGCGTCATAAAATCAGTATCACTGTTTTGCTGTTTTAAAACTGCAAACAGTAGTAGATAAAGACACATTAGAGCCAGCCGTGATGAAAGTAGACTCAAAAGAGAGTATAGTCGTTTTGCTTTTTAGTATCACAATCAAAGCACGTTTTTTTGCCCGAGTAAAGATTCACTATATGGCACACGTTGTAGGAATGGGCCATATAAAAGACAAAATCAGGAAAAGCGAGTAGAAGTGGCAGTAACTCAATCTTATTTCGTGCTTAAGTTGGTACTTAACCAGTCCATTTTATGGTACAGAGTGATCGCCCCTGAGTTCTTCATGTCCGTGGCTAAGATGAAAACATTTATTTCCGCCTTACACTATTATTTCAGTCGGAGAAACTCAGAGCTCGTAGTCGTTATTTGTGTGTGTGTGTGTGTGTGTGTGTGTGTGTGTGTGTTCAAACCAAATATTGTGTCATTAGTGTAACACTATTTGGTAAAATGTGATTATCGTTGTCTGAATAGTGGGGTACCGTTAGTGGAATGTTATAATCATTGTCTGTTGATAGAATTTGAGTATCGTTGTCTGAATAGTGGGTTCATGTTGGTGGACTGTTATAATTGTTGTCTGATTAGTTGATAGAATTGGAGTATCGTTGTCTGAATAGTGGGTTCATGTTGGTGGACTGTTATAATTGTTGTCTGATTAGTTGATAGAATTGGAGTATCGTTGTCTGAATAGTGGGTTCATGTTGGTGGACTGTTATAATTGTTGTCTGATTAGTTGATAGAATTGGAGTATCGTTGTCTGAATAGTGGGTTCATGTTGGTGGAATGTTATAATCGTTGTCTGACTGGTAGGGTACCTTTGGTGGAAAGTTTAAATCGTTGTCTGATTATTTGGTGGAATGTTATAATAGTTGTCTGAATAGTAGGGGGTACCGTTAGTAGAAAGTTTTTATTGTTGTCTAATTAGCTATCTGTGTATGTTATCATCGTCTGAGTTGCAAACCATTATGTTGGAGATGTGGATGTGGTAATTCTGCGGGATGTTGATACTGGCTAACATTGTCGGCGTGGTCGGTGCTGGCGGGGGGTGCAGATTTGTTTAAATGCACTAAAAGCCATATATATATATATATATATATATATATATATATATATATATATATATATATATATATATATATATACACTATATATAGGCTACTTGTTTGGGGGGGGGGCACCAAAATGATCTATTACCCCATTGGCTGACTCCGACTTAGTGACACCGATGTGTACATCTATACTAGGCTCTTATAGAGATTTATGAAGTTTGGACAAGCATGCAAGAATGCGATATAAGAGGGTTGTCCTACAGGCGAAGATAAGGCTTGCAACGTCCATTACCTCGTTAGAGTAATTTTCTTCTCAAGAATTTCCGTTGATAAAACACCGGACGTTTCCGGAAGCCGTCCAACACAAAACCCAGACCCAAGGAAAAGACGGATCAAAACACGTACAAGGATTGTGATAAAATATTTGAGAGAAAAAGTTAATCGGAAGCAAAAGAAAAGGTTAGAATGAACACATTTAACATTGTAAGATATTATGGAACATTAACTATGAGTAACAGAGAGGCCTTCATAAAATATTATAATAAACACTTTTTTCGTGAAATATCATGCTAACAGTATTATTATTTAAATATACATAAGAATGGAAATAAAACATTAAAATAAATAGCTAAATAAAAACACTATATATATACTAATCATAAATATAAACATACATATTGATCACCAATCTATTCACTTATCTACGTGTAAAAACACATCTACATAAAAATGTCTTTTTTGCCGGTATAATTAAGCGCTAGATTACTCTTTATCTCTCATTTATTGATACACTAACTCCATAAATTACCTCCCCTTCCACCCACATACACATCTTTTTATTTAATGACATTTCTCTAGCTACAAGCAGCAACAACGTGTCATTTTCCCCGTCATTTCTAGGCGAAATATAATAAGCCAGACAACGCTAATCGCCGAGTTGATCGTAATTAAGACAGTCGTCAAACCCTTCAACGATTTTAGCTAAAAGAGAATTACAATCCACTTAATTTTAGATGATCGTATTACACTTTAAAAAGCCCTCGCGGAAATTCCAGCTCTCCGCCCCC